TCTATTCTTTTTGGTAGCTTCGCTGCGTTCCTGAACAATCACTTTGAGACGAACTTCGATCGCAGCATGGCGCTGCGAAAGTGCTGGCGAAAGGGTTCTGCGGCAGCAGACGTTTTAAGGCACCAACTCCTTGAAGCACCAACCAATTCCGAAAAAATGACATCCGGAACAGGGAGAAGAAGACACAGCAATCAAGACATATCCGTTTTGTGTCTTTTCTCGTTCTGACCTACCTTTCTAGACCTTTCTTTCTTTTCTTTTCTTTTGACCTTTAGACCTGTTTCTGGCCATTTTATTTTTGTTTTTCTTTCTTTAGTTATGTATTTTATTTCTTGCCATTTTGGCCAAAAGAATCCGAACCAAAGGGAGAATGGCTTCGACTGGGTGCTTGGACCACCATGTTACGACCCCCATGTTACGACGGTCTTCGTTGGACTCCACTGGGCTCTGAATGGAGGGGGTTGGTTCTGTCACATCATGGTTCACCTCACATGGTTAGGGGTCTGTAACACCCAGCCCAAGCCTGCACATTCTGCAAAAAAATACGTCACACTTTTACGTGCGCGCGAGGAGAAAGTGGAAGAAGCTTCCCCTCCCGTGGAAGTGAAGCAGGTTGAGCAGGAACAGCGTTGGTCTCGGGGCAGTCGATACCTGGAAACCAACCAACGGTGCCAAGTTTTGTCTGCCGTACTTTGCATCTCAAACCAGCAAAGTATGGCAGAGATTTTGCACAGTTGGTTGCTTTCCATGGTCTTCTTTCTCCGGCGCTTTGGTCTCAGTGTGAACCATGGATTGAGCCCACCAGGAGGAGTGAGACCATGCGGTGAGCCCACTAGGTCGAGAGTAAGACATATTCTTCGGGAGTCGCTGGCTCTTTGTAAGACGTTTGGACTGCCTACCTTTCACCCAGTGACTGGCACCAGGTAGTTTTGGTGTGTTTGACACCAGTGGATCCACTGTCTTGGATAGGACTCTGACCCCTGCAGGAAGGCAGACATCCCGCAATTCCTTTCATCTGAAGCTGGCTGGCCGAAAAATTGCCCTAAGCCCTCAGATGGAAAACAGAGGTTCAGCTTCAGGACTTCTCAAGAAGATATTTTCCAAGACACTGGTGCGATGAAAGAATATTCGTCATTTTCGGGTCAGCTAGCCACCCTCCACCATGAGATTTTCTTCGGATCGAGGCGTTGCGGCCCTTCCCTACTTTGGTTGGTCGCAGCAGTCAGAAGACAGAGGATCTCTCGTTCAGTACATTCTCCCGCTCGATCTCGCCAAAACGGATCGTCCATCGGTTGCGTTCCATCCAATCCATGGCGGACACCGGAAGGAGGTGAGGCAGACACCGACTCCGGCCGGGACACCTAGGGGAAATGCTCAGGCTTCCAAGATGGAAAGTGATTTGATTCATCCCTTCAGGAGCTTTTGGATCAGAAGACCTTTTCCCCCTGCAGATCTGCAGGGATTTTTCTTGCAAAGCATGGCAAGGTCCCGATTCCTAACGAAGACCAAACAAGAATGTAGAGGAGAAACACCATTCAGGTAAAAACGACATGACACAGAAAGTATAGTTCTTTGATGGTTCATGTCATTGTTCTTTATGTCTTCCGTACCAGGAGTCACAAGACGGGGTGGTGTTTAGTCCCATCCAGTGAGTGGATGTGACAGGGGCACCCTGAACCTCCATGGATAGCACCCCCGTCGAACGTGACTGCTGGTACCCTAAGATCTTTCAGAACTCCATAGATCTTTCTTAACTCGTGTGAGTTGAGGACCTACCACTTCACCGTGTATCTGCAGCTCTTTTTTCCTTTTTCGGAACGTTTCCGAGCCAACTCCCGAAAGCCGTTCGAAAGGCGTCGAAGGAGCAGAAGAGCAGCACCGCGACCGCTCACCGATCCGGAGCAGCACCGATCCGGAGGCGGTTTGGGTCTCGTTCGTCCGAACCGCGCCTCGTCGGTTCGGAGAGACAACGTCCAAGCCACACAGGTCCAACGTCCCAGCACCGGTTGACCTGCACCCGGTCACCATACTTGAAAGCTGTTAGTTAGGGCCCAACACCCACCCAAACCCTCCATCATGTCGGAGACATGGCAGTGAAGGTGCTGGTCAATGGTCATGGACCTTGGATTCACGAAGTTCTCATGACATTCTCCATCACTCTGAATTTCGTCGTGAAGTGGAGAATTCACAAGAAAAACATGCATTGTTGGAGCAAATTGATCACCCCGTACCTTCCAGGTACCTATTGGTACCTGGTACCTTCAGGACATAGACATGTCATTGTTGCAGGTCTCTGTCTCAGATCGTCGGAACATGACATCAGAGTAGCCTAGTAGCGATACCAAGTCAGCTGCTGTTTCTCTCTTTTCTTAGTTTTGCATCATATCCCAAGGTCACCATGCACATATATACGCAAAGTATATTGTGGGAACACTACCGAGAATCGGCCTCATAATGCCTCATACCATCGAACATGTGTTCGACAAAAAGGAAGCCAAACACTCCATGGAATGCCATATACCCCCCTGGCACCGCCCCTTACTCACCATCGGCCAGTCGTGTCGCCGTCGCGCCCTGCGGCCAGGAAGTCGGACCGAGAGTAGAAGCGACCGCACGGTCCGCACGCCCAGAAAGGACCGGAGCCACTCGCGCCACGGACGCGTGGGGTGCGACGGAGAGGGGTGGAGGGACGGAGCGGAAAGCGTGGGTGGCGGACTAGTTTGGAGTCGAAAATAGAGAAAACACGGGGTAAACGGCTATATACCAGACACTCCATGTATACCTATCTACATTGACCCCTGAAACCACCCCAATGTATGGCAATATGCCATACATGGAGTGTCTGGATAGGTTGTTCCGTGATTTTCTCCAGCCTTTTCAACCTGGCGATGGGCGGAGAGTCTCGTGCAAACATGTCCAACAAACAGCAGACTTCTTAGAACAGACACCTGGCGATGGCCCGTTCGTTGTGATTCCAGGAGAGGTGGAAGCTCTGATTGAAGCCCTCAAAGCAGGGCCTTTAAAGGACTATCCCTTGGTTCCGCCGACAGACCCAGAGCTGCGAACCTTGGTGGGCTGGGACGCCCAGAGAAGCGCCGGGAGAAGCGGCCCGGGCGGCCCGGGCGGCCAGGGCGGCCAGGTTCCAAGGTGAGGAGACGCGGCAAGAACACGTCAAACACGTCCAGTTCGAGGAGATTTGTTTTCATGATATTGACTCATTTGGCAGTAAAGGACGTGCCGAACAAATGAACATGGGTCACCATATATGGTCAAACGTCAGATGGTGTCGACGCACCTCGCAGTCGTCGATGCACATCGCTCCACATCATCCGGTTCAGTCTTCGACTCGCCCACGGAAGGTTTTTGTGGATTGCATCTGTTTGGCCCCCCCGAAATACTCCCCCAAGGGATGGGAGTCATCCAAAAAGCTACATGGTGTTCAGAATTGTTGCATGCTCTGGAAGTCCAAACTCTATTCTTTAACACAGTTGAGGCTTTTTTCCTTAGTAAAGCAATGGTGGTTCGGTCCAAAACCCTCCAATTTATGGTGGGCCAGGAAGCCTAGGGATATCTTAGACCACCCCTCACGACATGTTTCGCTGCACTGGCGGGGAGGGCGACTCTGGCCGAGCCACTCTCGGAGTCATGTCCATCCTTCCTTCAGCAAACTCCCTCGTCCGAGCCACTGCCCCGCGAGCCACTGGGCGACTCGGTGAGGCAACGGTTCAGCGCTCCTGAGCAGCGACCCCAAAAAGGTGCCCCGGATGGTCTCGGCGGATGTGCGTGGAGGGCGCGCGGGGTGTCCATTCTCGCGGCACGGGAGAGACTGGAAGATGTGTGAGGCGTGGATGTATGAAGGATACCTCGAACTTCCAACTCTGCCAAAGTTCAGCCGCTCATCGATAAAACCAGCAGAAAGGCAAACATTCGGAAGATCCATTGGAGATTGACAGAGTAAGACATTAACCCTTTTTGACGTAGTTGCTTGAACCGCCGGGAGATGACCTCATCTTCTTAAGATGGTGGACATCACCAGCCGTCCTTCGGCCCCAAGTCTTGTCATGTCACTCACCAGCCCCAAGCCTGACCAGTCCTGTTGGTTGCGCCTCGACCAGCTTGTTGTTGGACAAGGCAGACTTGGCATCCTTCGCACGCCTGCGCCAGGCATTAGTCTTCCTGAGACTGGCAGGGCGGAAAGGATACCTGCCAGCCTACTTGCCGACCCGGCTTGGTTGTTTGCGTTTGCGTTTCAAGACTGCAGACCGAGCTGGATGTCCAGACTTGGGCTGCTGAGTCTCAACTTAGAGTTCAACTCAAGAGTTGGGGATTCCTTCCATGCAAGAATGGAATCAGGACTTGAAACTTGGACTTAGGTCTATAGCAATCCCTCTGAAGTCATTCTGTCTGAGCCCTTCACAAAAGGCGACTGACTGACTGGACCCTTGAGAAGGACGTCGTTCCGAAGAACCGCGCGACCCGCCAGGCTCTTGGCGCAACATGCTCAGCTCACGAAGGATGACGGGCTCCTCATCGAGAGCCTTTGCGTCGGTCACCTCGGTTCGCGCCGCGAGGAGAAATCGAGTAGACGAGGGAGGCACCGATGCACCTGGGGAGCGGGTTTGCGGATGCTCGGAGTTGCTTCGATGAAGCTCAAGGATTTGGAGATGATGCTGGGATGAGCAGAAACTTGAAACCACGTGCCTTTTGGAGCCCCTTAGGAGTAGCTGAGTAGCATACTTGCACTCGGCTGAAAATCAGTAAGTGCATTGTACACAGGAAGGTGACGTGACCCGTGCCCGGGGTATGCGGATTAGCATGGATGAGCAAGTCACCTGATGTGACTCAGGTGGATGGATGACGGATGGATGACGGATGGATGACGGATGACAGTAGCCAGTGGAATAACACACAATGTGACTCTTGAACGTTCGAAATGTCCGGTGAATGCCACCGTTGCTTCGTACCGAACGCTCTTCGCACCGAATGCTCAGACGCTCTTCATGTCCCCTGATGTGAAGCAGCTGCCGAAGAACTTGCTGAGCAATTGCGCGCTGCTTGGGCGGAGAAGTTGGAAGACCGGCCCTTGGCCCTTGGCCACCTTGGTTCATGCCCTTGGCCACCTTGGCCCTCCAATTTGTGGGCCCGGCCGGGAGAATTCAAGAGAGAAGGCCCGCTTCAAGCCCTTGGCCCTTCATTTTTTTTGGGGGGGGGACCTGGCCCGAAGCACTGTTGGGGAAGTCCTTCTCTTTTTGGTACTCGTCGGGTATCTGGATATTTTCCGTGGATTCTGGGGCAGTAGTTACCTACTGTATCCTACTGTAGAGGGAACTGGACAAGCAGATGTTCTTTCGGGCCTAGGGTCAGGTGCTTTTCGGATTTCTGCTGGGGGCCTGTGTTTGCCGGGGCCGTTGGCATCGATCACACCGACTGAGTGGGGTGTTCTGCACCCTAGTTGAACCACCATTGAGACAAACATCGCCTGAATCCCGAATTCCACAGAATGCAGCAGAGTCTCGTAAGAAAACGAAGACCAAAAACGATTGATCGCAACGATCTTTCCGAAACGTGCAGAACGAACTGCAGCTGTTCTGCTTCGTTGAAGCTGACAGCGCTCTCGCCTCGCGCAGCTCGCTTGGCCGCGTCCTCGCCAAGGATGCAGCTCACCGCCGTCCTGAGGGACCCCAAGAACCAGCAGGAGGCGTTTTGACCGAACGGCCGTCAGGTGGAGGGACGAAAGAACGGACAGGGTGGGTGGGGATGGTGATGTAGACACTCTTGATTCATGATGAATGAACACCCCTAAGAGGTTCTACACTCCAAGCGTGGGTTTCAGAGTTATTGAGTGTATAATGCATGACCTTCCGAGTTAGCCATTGGTCCACTTGGTTTTACATGGTGCATCTCTTTCATTCAGGGAGTCATCCTTCCCGAAAACGGCTTCGTCAACGTTGTCTCCTTTGCGCACTTGCGGCACTTGCGGCTTCAAGTGGACGGCCCAGAAAGGAGAACGAGGAATCCAGGGCCAGCCGTCCTTGGGATGTGAAGACTGGAAGTTTGCAAGAGATCGATACACCACCCGACGACCTGCCGGGTCACCAATGGTTTGACCCCTGAACGGGAGAACCACAGCCTCTTCAGGAGACCTATAGAATACATCTAAGACAATTTGGGTGCTGCTAGAAGTGAGGCTTCCTCTGTCTGCTTCATCCAACCTGGCTGTCCAGCTCAACTAACCTGCTTGAGTAGTGATGACTTGGATGACCAACTCCAGTAAAACATGAGGTAAAATCATTGACCTATAAGAAGTCCGGGGGCTTTAGAACCGACCTCTGCGGTGTTTGTTTAGTCTTTTCTTCTTTCCGATTTGCCACCGACGGTGGCGCGCGCCCGGGCGGATGCCCACGAACTCGCGCGCCACGGACGGGGATCCATGGATGTGACCCTGGAACTCTGGGTGAATCCCCGACGCCATGGGGGGATCGTGTCCTTTTTTTCAATTTCTTTGGGTTCCGGTTGGGTTCAGCGCATTCATTGCATTGTAGAACGGAGAAAAGAGAAAAGCTACCGAAGTGAGCGATATTATGAACATCCACAGATACCGAAGCGTCTCCAAAATAATTCCCTTCATGTTTCGAATTTCTGACGATTTGCTCGAGTTCTTCACCAGAGCTACTTGTCGCTGCCACCCCCCCCTCACCAACGCAGGCGGCCGCGCGCGCGGCCGACCTCGAGGTCATCGCGAAGGATTGGCTGGCGGTGCCCAGGATTCGCGAATCCGGGGGCGCTTTTCCCGGCCATTCGCACAAAGGACACTATACCAGGGCCTGCCTGGCCATGGGGTGGTTGATGGACACCCCGAATCGCCTCGTTTCGGAGCTACTTTTAGACACCCCTTAAGGAGGCCCACCCAGGTATAGGTGAGTATGAGTGAGACTCCAGGGCAAGATGAATAGTTGCGGTGTCTTGCTTCCATCCAGAGTCAGTAATATGTCTGTATTTCAAGAGTGAGACTCCCCCTTACGAGTCACATGGAGTTGGGTGATAGTCGTCGTCCCATCCAGGTGTGGGCCGTGGATGTGTTCTGGGGCAATCCCTATTCTTCCTCCAGTAAGCACCCTGTCCTCTCTGGAACTGCTGGTACTGGGACCCTCCTGTCGGGGTGTCTATGTAAATAGCCCCTTAGCTGTTAAGGAGTGTCCATTAACCACCCCGACTGGGGGGCCTGGTACCACTAGGAGGGGTCCCTTCTCCATCTCCTTGGGGGTCGTGGTACAGTAGGTTCCTTAATTTGTCGACGACTGCGCTCGGGCGACCGGTCGACGACGGCTGGCGCACTCCCTTGTTGTTTGGAAGCAAAGCGGCTGGTCAGACCGCAGAGCCCCGGACGAGGCCCATCATGAACATGTTGAAGCTGCAAACGCCAGGCCGGTGAGGGTCTTTGGGTTCAAGCATGGGGCAAGCTGTGTGAATGAATCCAGGACAGATTCCAGTGATGCCGTCCTTGTTTTCGAATCCCGCGCGTCGTGGATGATCCTCGCGTTCCATATGTAAAAGCAGTGACACATGAGGCGCCTGAGTACTAACTTATATAGGTGACACTTTCGGGGGTGGAAAGTCCTTCTCCGTGGTTCATCCTTTGAGACGATCATGAACACATGGACGCCCATGCGAGCTGCTCCGGAACCCTTTCTTGGAGCAGCCATGCAGCAAAACGCATCTCCAAAGGTTTCACAGTCCTCCTCTTGTTTTCAAAGACACGGCAAAGTCCACCCCCAAACCTGGGTTTTGGGGGCAGAAATCGGTCCTGTTTCGTCTCCACAGGGAAGCAAACCACCCACCCCCACCCCTTCCTGTCGCGCCGGACGCCGGGGCGCCTCGCCGGCGGAGGTGGGAAGTCTGCCTCGAAGCAGGTGGGGTGGGTCGGCGCGATGAGGCGGAGGATTTGGAGGGTGGGTGTTCTAGTTTGGAAAAGAAGCTTCGGTTTAGGGTGTTTTCTTTTGGTATGTATATGCATGAAGGCAACGACAGCCGTTCGGAGATGTTGGCAGATATAGTTTGTTTATGTTTGTTTGGGTTTGTAGAGCCCAAGAGTTTACTCTGCTTGCGCAAAGCATCGGAGTTTGCTAGCGCCATCTTGTGCCGCATTGCACACAACATGTCCCTCTGCTTGGACCGGAGGCGAAGACACAACAGGCGCAAGGGGACCGTCGTACTTTTGGCGCAGGGGGTGTTCCTAATCCTGAAGTCCTTCAACTGCCCCATGGAGGAGAGTTCTATCTTTTTCCTATGGGAACTTTGAAGCTTTGCCCTATAGAAGTACCAATTACTTATACTAGTCCGCATTCCAGTACCCTACCAAAAGTATCTAAAAGCATCTAAAAACCATATTGTAACGAATTGTATAGTCTTTAACTCCCAAGATCTGGGACAAGGATCTTGTCCAAACCAGTCCTTCAGTTGCAAGTTCCAAACGAGCTCTCATGAAGTTCGACATGTCCACCACCGGCCACTGATCTCTCCCCTGTTCCATCGTCCGACCTTGCCAACCTGACGTCCCTGAGGGCCGGGTGGACTTCCAGCAGATCAAGGAAGCCATGGTCACACCCAAGGCATCCGCCGGTCGTCTGATTCAATGCGCCGCCGCCGCAGTGGGAGAAAAAGGAAGAGAACCCTTGGGTCTCTTTGTACCTGAATCTTTATAGAGGAATGTCCCGCTCGCCATGCTCGCCATCATCCACAAGATCCACAATATACATGTATACAGACCCTGGGAGTCAAAGGACTATAAAAAGAATGGTCTATTTAGGGGACCTGAAAGGGCACTTCCTTTACTTCAGCCAGTCAACATAGAGTCTAACTGGACTTCTAATGCAGAGTCAAACCATGTCAAACTCTGTTTCTGTCGAAAGCATTGCGGGGAAGTCATGTTCGGCGCATCCGGAGCGGTCCCTTGCAGCGGAGCGCAGGTGAGCCTGTCCACGAAGACGGCAGAAGCGTCCGCGAGGACTTCGAAGCCGGTCAGAGGTGGGCCGGTCAGTGAAGTCGGTCTCCCTGTCTTGCCCTTTTCAAGAGAAGAACCGACAGAAGTCACCCGACAGCGTTCCAAGACCATATATTCTAACAGTGGTTGATCTGGTGTTGTATGATGTTGTATGTCTGAAATCCTGGTAAACTAAGAATGGTTCTCCGGTGACTATGTATGGTGGGCCAGGGCCAGCCTTTTTTGCTTTGGGAGAGTCGCTTCTTCACCAGCCTCGACCAGCCGCGTCGAGACCAGCGTGACTTCTTTGGGTGACCGACTTGGAGGGCTCCTCTTTCGCCCTGCGCAGCGAGCGTACCTGGCAGGGACCTGGCAGCAGGTTCGTGGGCGCTGGCACCTCTCGGTGCAGGTGCTTGTTGGGGCGTCGACAGGAACGTTTTTATTGAAGACGCTTCGCGTCGACAGCCGCCCACACCGAGAACAGAGGGGAAGTAGCCATTTAGGCGCCAGGTTGGGGACAAGTGCAGCCATCTAGGCGCCAGGTTGGCTGTCTTACGGCTGCGTTGGAGCATCTTGGGGTCAACTTCGTCTACCTTGGAGCCCATAATGGTGATACAACTTCGGCCTTGCCAAAAGCCATCCAAAAATACACCTCCAAAGCGCTCTCCCCAGTGGCCCTGCAGCCGAGCAAGAATCAATGCAGCAACCGCCCCAAAGCACAAAAACTCCCCCAAAACGCCTTGCAAGCACGATTTACCGAACAATTATCCAAACATGTACCCCTAAAACGCTCTCCTCGGTGGCCCTGCAGCCCAACCATAGCCGCGCACGCGCGCAAAAAAGTCCCCCCCTAGCAGAGCTATTTGCACAGGCGGCAGAGCTCAAGAGCCCCAATAGCACGCCCTGCACCGACAAGCGGTGTGGGCGGATTTTGCGGCAGAAAAGGGTGATGTTGATTTCTCCAGGTTCCTGGTGGATCCCCCTGGCATGGTGTCTTCTATTTTTTATCTTCAAGCAAACCATTGGAAGGAGATAAACCAAGCCATGCACTTTTGATGCCACGATCTCTTGGACCATGAAAAGAGATCGGCAATCCGCTGGGCTGGGGGTGTGGCTGCTGCTGGGCCACACAGCTAACGCACGGATGGGGGTCGTATGTGAAGTGATGGAACAATGGAATTCTGATACAGGGGTTTCAGAGTACATGGCACAACCCCCATGATGTCCTTTACATGGGGGTCCATTTCAACCACCTCTTGGGGTCTGTGCCATCTACTCTGAAGCCACTATAAGACTTGTGCAGCACGACGGCGAGTCAGGGACATCTTTGGTTCTTCGCCTTTCCAGGACCTTCCAAGTTCGGTGCTTTTGGACACCCTTAAAACCTGTAAGGGGCTATTCATAGACACCCATTGGAGGGTCCTGGCAGGTATACGTAGAATGATGTAGAATGAGTGTCAGCATGTCATGTTTCTACCATTTTTTTTTCGACAAGTTAAAATATCTTCCCTGCTTGTCCCTTTGGTCGCTCAACTGGGACCATTCTGGAGGCACAAGTCCTCAAGTCACACCTTTTGCTTGGGATCTTCGACTGGACGCAGATTCTCTTTCTTAGCAGCCAAGCGCCATATCCAGTCCTTGCCTCATCCTGCTTCCACTGGTTCAGGGAAAACCTTTCCGAATGGCAAGAGCGAAGGCAGTGGCCTCCACTTAGTTTCCGGTTGTTGCTGTTCTTGCGGTTGTTTTCTTTTTCTGGTGTGGTCAAAGTATTCAGAGTTAGCCAGCAAAACAACCAATTTTGACATGCATGAGAGCTGTTCTTGTGAGTGAAAAAGATGGAATCCATGTCCCACCAGCTTCTAGTATTTCATAATATTTAATTCCTGGTCCTAGTCGTGTGTGGTGCCAACCACCCTTTTGAAGAACACATGGATCATGCAGAACCTGTGACTCTCCCAATTCTGGGCTCAAATCACATCCCATCTTCTTCCAGTCAGATGGATTTGGCACGAAGAGAAAACCACCCTCCATGGCGAAGACATCCAAGACGGAGCTTCGCCATGCTTCGCCCCGACCTTCCCTCGCTGCTTCGCCCCGAACGACCGCTCGACCTCCGTGACAGGTTCCGCAGCTGCAGGATGTGTCCACGGCCACGAGCGGTCCTCAGGGAGCCTTCTATTTGAGCGAAGAGCGAAGGTGAAGCTTCGAAGGTTGAAGCTAAAGAAAGAACACATCGTCATCATCATCATCATCATCAACAACAACAACAAAACAACAACATCGTACATCATAAATCTTCCAACTATGCAACTTTGCTTGGTGTTTTTTTTCCTGTGGATGAACAGACCAGACATTCAGAGAAGATGGGAAGATCCACGTATCCAGGTCGATCTCCGACCATAGCGCCCGTGACTGGGCGATTCGCGCGGTCGCAGGTTGGAGGTCAGCGAAGCCGATGTGCGGCTCAGCGACCGATCTGGGCATGCCTGGCTCGGTGTTGGGAGAGAGGATCTGAGGATGGGCAGGGTGAACCGTGATGTTTTTCATTCTGTTGCCCTGCAGAGGGCCACAATGGACTCTCAAGAGCACTGGGTTGGTCGGTTGAGACCACTGGGTTGGTCTTCGGAACATGGGTCGCAGCCGGCGGGGTGAGTGTTCCCAAGGCCTGGCTGCAGCAGGGGGTTCAAACCAGGAGAGCCGACCCGTGATAGTTTCGGATATTTATATGTTCAACCCTTACTTGGGGATGAAGAAGGACCGTCTGACTGTGCTATTGTTCAAGTGGGTTGAAAACACTGAAGAGACACGCATCGGTTTTTGACTGAAGAGACACGCATCGTTTTTCGGTCTGCTTTTCGGGGTTGGGCGGATCAGATGATGGGGTGATGTTCCCGTTTTTTGGGTCACATCCTCCCGGTTCCTGGGTCACCAATTGAGACGACCCTCTAGGGCCCAACAACCCTCTAGAGACCTGTTGCAGGATGCTGGTGAGTTACCACCTGGGTTTTGCACATGGGTGCAGATTAAGACCTCCCCTCCAAAAAATTCAGAACCAGTATGCTCCGACATCTCCATAGTTATCCATAGTCTTTTTTGCATCAGTCAACATCGGTTGTAGAGGACAAATAGTCTTCCAGCCTGGTCCATTTTCAGGTTCTATGTCTTTCACATTCGCATGGCTTGACATTCTGCATCTGGGAGACCCGGGTCTCCCTGCCTACCTGCACTGCGCGACCGGCGACCGGCTTGCAGCCAGTGCAGAGCCTGCTGGTCAAGTATGAAATAGACAACAACATACAACAATTGTACATCAATATACAACAGCATAAAAGTCAAACACGCAGAATGAACAAACTGACATAATCATGTTGAAACACTTCGAAAACCGTGGGTCTTTATCGTCCAACTTTCGCGAGACAGATGGCCCCACCCCATGCCGGTGTTGGCATTGGTTTTGGGAGGCGCTAGTGCGTCAGGGTAGCCGGCGGGCAGGGAGTCCACCTCAAAAGAATGCATAGCTCTATCACATCTATAACTTGACTGGAACACTGAATTGAACATGCATGACGGCCTGCAGATATCTGCAGTTCTTTTTTGTTTTTAGAATATGTGTATATAGCCCAACTTCAGTCTTTTCATGCAGTGCGCGGAACTGGCCCTTGCGTTCCCCAGTGGAAAGAGATAGCTGGAGCTGGAGCTCAGCTTCAAAAAAGAGCAAGCAACAGCTGGCCACGAAGCATCAGTGACAACCTGAATGATATTATGATAGACTTGGGACGCCGCGTGCCGGAGAACGGTGTGTTGGAGAACTGACTCGGGCTGACCAGCCTCGTTTTATGAGAGTGGCTGAGCCACACCGCGAACACCAAGTCATGAAGAAAAAGAATGAAGACTAGCCTTTTATAGCCTTTTACATCCTATGGAACGACACTCCCGGTGGAAGCTGGACATCGATTCTTCGGTCCTTCCCGCCGGCCGCTGCGGCGGGAGGCCAGCGCCCCATCGATGGCTCGGTCTCGCTCCCGGGGGAGAGAAGAGGTGCGCCGCGGGGCGCCGGGGGTCCGGTCTTCGGGGGCCGGGGGGCGGTGAAGAGGGCGGTGAAGGTGGATAGAAGATGGAAGAGTCTGAGAAGAGTCTCGTTTGTTGGACCCTTGGGCCCATAGAAGTGCATCTTGGAAGCTGATTACTGTATATATATATATATATAGAATTTGTATAGTAGATGGTGCCACAGAATCACAAAAATTCAAACTCACCCAATCGAACAAAAAGAAACAGCTGAATCCCTCAAATCCGTGAGAACCATTGAGAACGAGGGATATGAGACCGTGACCCAATCGCCATGTTGGCCCTTGTGGGATACATGTATGACTGTATGACCAATCCTTGCAGCAGAGAATGCGAAGATGCTACTCCCTCCAAAGGACCGTTTCTTTTAGGTCCCTATACTACTGGAGATCTACTGCATATCGATTCAATCTATTTCCAACGGTTAACAGATGCTACTAGGGTACTTCTGATCTATGATTGGTTGCTCTTTGTTCAGACTCCTCATTATTTTCCCACTAAATGAAGGGCTGGCTTTCCTCGCCAGCGACGCTTGATTGCCTCTAAGGGCTCCAGAAGCTCCAGCAGCTTCAGCAGCACTTGCACCGCTGAGCCCATTGAGTTGAGAACACCAGGCAGTCAGATGAGGAGAGCGACCAACTCGATTCGATCGAGTTCAGTGGTTTCCACCCCCCCCAAGCGACCCTGAACACTTGAAGAGACTGGTCGTTCCAAGGGTATATGGAGGAATTTTTGTGTGGTTGGTTCGGTGAAGTTAGACATGCACAGTAGACATCACTGGGAGAATGAACACAGACCTGCGCACATATGGACCCCCAGTCTGTTTAGTCTGATTTTTGGCAAAACCCTGGTTCCAGTGGTTGGAGGATTCCATGTATACAAACATCTCCGCTAGTTGGGTACTGCGGATCGAGAAGAACCCGGCCTTCGATTCGACCTTTCGGCCTGGTGAACTTTAGTGTACAAAACTAAATGGCCAGGAACTATGAAGTATACAAACTCAATGGCCTGGTGAACTTTAATGGAACTTTCATACTTCATGGGCCTTCGGTTCGACCTTTCCTTAATTCGCTTTTTTTGTATGAAACTCAATGGCCAGGAATCCATGTGCGATTTCGCTTCGCACACCCCAAGCAATGGATGACACATTCCACTGATTTAAACAAGGTGTCGAGTCCTCACACCTGGGTCAGCATGACAGATCTGGTGGAATAGGCTAAAACTGTATGTTGCATCCAGTTACAACGGTTCGGTACACCATGGTACAACACCCCATACATTCTCTACTTGTAAAGACCTTGACTTTAGTGATATGTAATGAATATACATGTAGTACTGATCGTACGGTAATTTACCATTTTATGCATCTGACAAGGGGACATTTACATCAGGCACACCCCTTCTGAAAATCTTTGGACCGGTATATACCCTACACCTCCAGTCGTACCTCCTCAGAAGGTATGACTGGACCCTCCTGGCACCCACCCCACACAGATACTGGCGATACCTAGAACCTCATTAGGCAATAATTTCGCCCAACGCCATTTAGGCAGAAAATTCAGCCCGTTTTTGCAAAGAACGCCTAAGCTACAGCCTCGAGGGTCAAAAACGCCGAGGCACAATCACATGCATTCTTACATGCAGGAAGCAGAGCCAGAATTTGAATGACAAAAATTGAGAAAACAATCGCCTGCCACTTGACGCTAATCCCCAATCTAAAGTTGTTGAAACTCATGTCTCTCACTCCCCCCAAAAGGCTACCATTCCGTTGTCCACCCAACTACTGATTGTAGTGAGGGGGGAACGGGCAAGAACGCCTAAGTAACGGGCAAGAACGCCCAAGTAACGGGTAAGAACCTACGCAAAAAGATATTAAAGCAACTAAAAACCATACAAAAGAGATCAGAAGAGAAACATTAAGTTAATTCCTGACAAACAAGTGTACCTCGCTATGAAAGTTCCTGGAATCAGTGGAGGGTGGATCCTCATGTATTTGAGCAATGCCACCAAAAGGACAAGAACGCCCAGAGGGGGCAAGAACGCCTACAGGGGACAAGAACGCCTAAGCACGGGCAAAGTCGCCTTTACCCACAATAGAAATTTCTGCCCAAGAAGAGGTTATAGGTATTTACTTCAACAATGGACCTTGTATACACCGCGCTTCTGGGTAGAAGGGGTGGCGGACGCCTTTTCGAGGCGAGTTGGAAAGCCCAGAGGGCGCGGTGACGTCGAGCCCGTCGAAGACGAGGGAGGACGGGGAATGACGGCGGTGGGAGGGACTGCTGCATTTTCTGGGTGGATTTGGAGAAGTGAACGTTTTTGCTACCTGGCAGGATCTTCCAGAAAGTGACATGGTGCAGATTTCTTTGGGTGTGCCAGGGACCTTGGCTACCCGTGGCACGCGCCAGCATGCGCGCGCAAAAAAAAGCGCCCGAGGTCGTGCGTTGCGTGCCGGCTTCGCCAGGGATGTTTGTTCCACCAAGACATTCCAGCGGAGGCAGGTGTCGTCTCGAGGGCCGTCAGAGATCTCCAGCCAAGAAGAGAGGACTGGACAAGCATGTGGTGCCGAGTGGTGCAAAGGGCCCGCAGACTGGTCAAGGGTCTTAGAGTCTTAGATCTGATCCTGCTTCGTCTAAATCCTAGAAGTCCGAAGACTATCTTTTGATAGCAGGAGCCACAAGACGGGGTGGTGCTTAGTCCCTAAGTGAGTGGATGTTCTGGGCCTAACCTCCATGGATAGCACCCTCCCGTCTTGTGACTGCTGGTATATTTGACCGACTGAAGTAAAGTAAATTCCTGAACTCGGGTCACCTGAAGACCATTCTCTTTATCGTCTTTGACCTCCCAGGGTCAAGTATCAAGGCCATCCCACTTCGCATCCCACTGCTACACAAAGGTTCCACGGTGCACCATGGATCTCCATGAAACCACGCTCCTCCATCCCGCTCCCACCGTCGCTGGATGGCCGACGTTTCATCGACCTCCGATTCTGACCGCCACGCGGGCGGGGAGCGCCATAGAGCCATCGCCACGCCACGCCACGCCTGGCGAGCTCTGAGGTTCAGAGGTTCGACCGAAACCAAGTGGGTTTAGATGGACCCCCAGATGTCTGTTCGACTCACATGTCTGTTCGGCACGCGGCATCCACTCTGAAATCACTTTTAAGATGTTCCAGAAACCAACCAGACTTCCGTGACGGAAGCACTGCCCAATCGACTCTTTGTGGATGTGCGAAATGCTAGATCGACACATTCTTCCCACATCTTCCTAGCATCACAGAGTTGTCTTCTTGGACAAATCTGCATGCCATTCCAACTCTTCATGTCTCCCAAACAGTGTCGTCTCCAACGTCCTAGTTGATCACCTGCCCGATCTTTTTTGGAGATTGGGGACGCCCCACTCAAATTGGGTGCATTCAACATGTTTAGAAACTGTCATCGACCCGACCAGAGCGTCGACGATGCGGCTGTCATACACAGCTAAGAGAGATGGAACAGGTGGAAGATTCGCTCTCCGGCCTCATCCCGAGTGCCAAGGTGCTGGTGTCCCAGCGACGGTCCGCACGTCAAGTGGGCCAGGCGGCGCGTCCTTGGTGTCCGTTGTTGAAGAAGAACACGGTTGGAGAACAGACTCCCAGACACTCCATGGGACTGCCATAGGACTGCCGCCCCATTGACCCCTCATGGCCTACCCCTGGCCTGATCGGCATCTACGGCAGTCCCATGGAGTGTCTGGGACTTGGGATCTCATGCTGGGTGTGTTTTTTAGCGGAAGACCTCCCAGGCGTTCCGACCCCTTCCAGGCCAATAGGCCCTTGAAATACGCGTAATCCGCTGGTGATGAGATCTAACAGCCTCAAAGTCATTGCAGGGGACTGGTACATCGGAACATCCTCCAGTTCCGGAGGTGTCTTCCGCTTGGGCGAAAGGTGCCTCGGGTGATCCGTCTTCTGCGAATCCCTGGGCAGGGCCTGACCGGGGGAAGAATTTTCCATGGGTTTTGGTCCATGGCTTCCAGAAAATAAGCCTCCAGAGACTCAGAGACATCAAAAAAGGCAAGGAATTCTTCTCTGTCCCACCCTCTCTCTCTCTTGGCTCCGACTCTTCTCCACGTGGAGCTCCGATCGTGGCAGGGTGGTGGCGGCGCTTCAGAAAGGCGTCTTTGAGGCGCGGGTGGAGGAGTTCGATGAGATCTGGAGATCATGGGGTGAAATCAGACCTCATCTCCAGTGATCTGATAGTCATCTCCAGCGATCTGACGAACTTGATGAGGTGGAGAAGTGCCAAGAATGCAGACGTGAGCTGAACCTGTGGATCCCATCACCTGATTTCAGCAGACAAGAGTGGGTTCTGATTTTTTGTGATGCAACTATAGGAGAGGTGTTCGCACTAAAGGCATTCGTTTCAGCTTGTCTTTCGTCCGCAGGCGCTCCTGGTGTCGCCAGATGACAACAAGGGCAAGGCGACCGAGAGCAGCTAGAAGACTGGTTGGATGAGGAACACGTGGTGTGCATCCAAACAGGAAGACATCTCCCAGCTATGTTCCGTGTTGGGGGGTCTCCATGGGGTCTCCTTATTTCAATTTTACATAGCTTTCTCACGAGGAGCATTGATAGGGTACTCAAAGAGTTGAAGCCCGACATGCGCGGTTCCAAAAGGCTTTGTTTCGTGAACATAGCTTTGAGTTTGGTGGCAAAGGTTTGTTGGCCGCTATTGTTCCTATGGCACAAGTTTTGACTAGGAAGAGACAACAGATCATCAGACTCTAGGTGTCAGGCGGTGTTGCTGCCATGAGCCGCTGGGGCAGCAGTGTTCATTCATCGTGGGGCGGCTGGTCTTGGAACGAGGATGCGTGGTCATCAAGTTGGCGGTGGGGGGGTAGTGATGACTGGTCTGGCAGGTGGCATGAAGGCGGGTTGTCCTCTCATGCAGGTGGTCTTGCCCCTGCTGCTGCTGCTGCTGCTGATGTATGTGGTCTTACCCATTTTAATTCGTCAACAAAGTGGTCAAAGGATTTCCCTGCCGGCCAGTTTGTGTCAGCGTTTGTGCCGCTGAGCTTGAAACAGTTCAAGGACGAGTCGTACAGACCAATAGTGACATTCATTGAAGAGGAACTGGGTTGCCACGTGTCGTTTAGAAAAAAGGATTTTAAAGATGGCAGGAAACGGAGCCAAGTCACGGTGAAGGGGCTGCAGGCTCACAGTGCGTGGACGCACTTGATCACGGAGATCAGAGAGTTGGAGAAAGCCGGCAAGATCGAGGGTAGCCCCATCCCATGGCACGCTTGCCCACCGGCCAACATTTTGCAGGATGCAGCGGCAAAGGAGGAGGCAGAAGAGGATTCGAGAGAGGTTCGCAAGAAGGAGAAAAAGGATAATGCGGAAACTGAGGAGACGCCAAAGAAGGTCCCCAAGTTGAAAGCTAAGGCCAACGTGAAACACGAGAAGGAGAAGACCAAGAAGACTGGAAACAAATGGTCTGCGTTAAAGTCGGAGGAGGAGGACCCAAACGAACAGGAGGCAACTGAGAAAGGAAATAGACAGGTGAAAGACGACACGAGCTGCTGCTCGGAAGAGACATGGTGAACCTCTGCCACTGAGTTTTGCGACCCTGACAGATTCCCGAGGCAGTGGCAGTGTGGTCTTACCTGTTGCCGCGACATGGTCTTACCTGTCGACCCTGCTTTGCTTGGTAGGCCTGTGTTTGTCTGCGTTTTTCAGCCCACTTGATTCCCACTTGCAGAATTTTGGAGTTATAGACGTAACCAGTATGCCTCAGCAGTATGCTTTTCTTGTAGCAGAATCAGACTGGCAGTAAGGGTACGCAACACTGGACGTTCCTGATTCTAACGGTAAAATTAGTGACTGGAGGATCTCTTACTACCAGTTGAGACGTTTTTCACCAGCTGCACGACAGCTTCGGTGCGGTCCAAAAAGAGGAGCACGCTGTTGCTGTAGGGAAACCGATCCAGGCATTCAAGTCAACTCGACCAGCGCTTAATTTGACCCACCCGAACATGGCCCCGTGTAGCTTATGGCGCCTGTGTAGCTCGTCTTTTGTTGTCTTTACCACTTCTTTTTGTGGCTCCAAAGCTTGCGCTGCAGCCCCTTGCTGCTCCTCTACCTGCCAACGGCTTGACTGATGGTAGTGACAATCACTCTGGCGTCGACTGCGTCGACCCCAACCAGCAAACACGCACACTTTGGGCCTCACTCATCGAAAAAATCGCCCACCCGCGCGTGTTCACATGCCCATGGGGGGTGACTCGAACCTGGCAGTGTCGTCGGTGGCAGCGCCGCTTGGCCGAAACACACCGTGCCACTGTGGCCCGACGCACGGCCCCTTCGGGGTTCGTTGAGTGGGACAGGCTCGCGCACTTCCGCACCTGCGTTTGCGCGGGGACAAGAGAACACATGAAAGCGAAGCACGTCAAAGTGGAAGGGTGGAACTTCATAGCCCTGTGTGGTTCCAAACTGTTCATTGTGCACCGTGGGTTCCAAATCTGCGCTGTCACCCAGCCCTCGTATCGGCGCATTGCACCGATGACGGGATAACGGGGAATCGTGAATGTTCGACACTTTCATTTGCCAGACACTCCGTGGGACTGGCATATTTGCCTACATTGAGGTGGTTTGGGGGGTCAATGTAGGCATACATGGCAGTCCCATGGAGTGTCTGGGTTTGCCAAGCCCCCGCGTTATTGGCATCGGAGTTGGTTTGGTGTTTGGTTCCGTGGACCGTCGACCAAACGTCAGGTGTGCGCTTTGGCCATGGTGGAAGCGGCCAAGGATGGGTGCGAAGATGTTTCGAAGGATGGCGCGGTTCGCCCTTCACCTGGGGAAAAGGGGAAAGGAGGGCCGTTCGCGCATGCAAAAACATTCAAGGTGACCACTGGGAGAATCAAGGAGCTGAGTGGTTGGAGGTTCGAGATTTCCCAATCATGTTTGTGTTGGTTGGTGGAAATCTGCTGGGAGTTGGGGCTTGCAGAGTTTGCCTCGCTCCCCCAAACCCAGCCATGCTGAGTGCCAAAAGCACTTGGGGTGGACAGGGTAGGGGAGTATTGTATCTAAGACTAAGAATCGAAGTGGGGTTGTTGCATCAGTCTGCGGAACACATTAGAGTTTTCAATCACTTTTGGACTAAGGGCCACCCTAACAAATGTTACGTATAGAGTCTGTGATACCATTGCTTCAAGGAACTCCAACATACTACGCAGCCATCCACGATGTTCCTCCTCAGCTGGTTGATTGGAATTCCTGGGAGAGGTTAACTCTGGTGAAGACTTATTGGAACTGGGACTTATTGGCTTTTGTGAGCGTCTATGTATGTTCTCAACCCAATGATGTGCGTCCAGAATTTGCAGATGGAACCCCAAAACCATTGCTTGTTAAAGGATCAGGTGGGATTTACCTTGAACCACGGGTTCCTTCCACACCGGCTTATTGCTGTACTTATGTGCTCCCTTGAACCTTTGTTGGGGCCGGCCATGACCACAGGCCATGTCTTGGGAGCTTCGCGTGATCGAGCTGAAGTCAGGACGGGATGATCAGCATCGGCGATCCCGTCACGGTGATGGGCGCGCCACTGTAGATGAGTCGGACCTCATGAGGAGCTCAACCCACGAAAGGATCGAACGCCAAGGTCCATCCTTGGAATCTGGAAGTCGTTTCGGTGTCCCAAAGCTGACGGACGAATCTTGTGCTATCTTCTCTGGGAACTTAAAACACACACACACACACACCTTTGGGGCAGTTAAACTAGTGACGTACTTTGAGCGTGAAGGAAGGTTGGATGTGGTAACGGTGTTGTACATGTATACAGATGTATATATTTGTTTCAGACCCTCAAACCTGTGCACTAGTCATGCCATGATTTAATCGTAGACTTGCTACCTGTGCCCAGTGACTATGAACAAGAGACTATGAACCCTCTCACAGCATGCCCAGTAGACCTACAGCAGACAGACTCGCAAGACTTGGAGGAGTCCGAAGCGACTTGCGGATCCAAAGCACAGCCTTCAGCAGAGCTGAAAAAGAACCAAAAACGAAAACCAAAGAGTTGCAGCAACACGCTCTCCGACTCGGTGTCTTCGGGATGAAGCGAATCCCCAAACGGATGTTCTGCTTGGCTTCGCCGTTCGGGTTCGTGGCAGGACACGGAGATCAGGAAGCTCTTCAGAAGCTCTGCCACGAGCTGTGCCCGGAGAGTTCCGGTGAGTTTTCCGGTGCGAGTCGCTCGCAAGCGTGCTTTAAGAGAAGACTTGGAGGTGCTTAATTAAGGGTCATAGTCATATCTGTCTCAGTGTTGCACTCCAGTTTTTCACCCAAGAGCCTCCAAATAATTACCCCTCTAATCCAGCAAGTTTCGACCAAGAGCATTGAAAAAACCTCTCAGATCTGAGCTTGAAATCACCTTTCGAACCTCGAAGCTGTCCCCCAAGCAGCCCCATCCTCATCCCGCCAGTCATCCCACCATATTCACCGGAGAAGCTCCATGCCAGGTACACTGACCGCTGCGTCGCGCAGGAGCAAAGCTGTTTGCTGCTCTTGAGCGATCGGCGTCAGGCCTGGAAGACTGCGTGGCACGAGCGGGTTAGGATGGCCCAATTTGGGGGTAAGTGAGAGATGAACAAGCATTCCTTTTCTCGGCAGCGGAAGCTTCTTCTTCACAGCAATGTGTGAGTTCTGAAATTCGCGACTGGGGAGATCCAATTCCTCGCTCGAGATCCTCTCCTATTAACTATAAGTGCTTGTGCTGTTTTTGAGTTGAAAGCCCTTATCACTTTTGACAGCGTTCAGTACGCTGCCAAGTGATCGTGGCTAGGTCTGACATCTCTGGACAGCAACCTTGATTGAACCAAGATCAGTAGGTCGCATTGGATATTTTCCGACACCAGCGGCATTGATCACCACCGACTTCCAAGCTACCTGGGTGTGACTGAGACTCGTTGGTTTGAGGGGTGTCTCCCTATCAAGATCCCACCCACCCACCCACCCACCCACCCTTCCACCCACCCACCCACCCACCCTTCCACCCACCCCCCCACTCACCCTCCCACCCACCCACCCACCCTTCCACCCTTCCACCCTTTGGATTGGGCTCCAAAAGAGAAAAGAACCGTTCCACAGGCTCCAGGTCTTTCACGTGGCTCACTGGGTCGGTTTGGGGGTGGCGAGGTCGATCGTTATGAATATCCAGCAGGTACAAAAGGTATGAGATTTATGATCCTCTAGAGATCCAGGGTATCTCCACGGTATGAGTATCTCATCAATTCCCTGGTATCGCATCTCGTTATGAATATCCAGGGGATCCCTAGAATTGAGGAGATTTATGATCCTCTAGACTCTAGAATTATGATGCTCTAGAAGATTTATTCTTCCACTACGAGGTCTCGTCAAACACCGACCGTCGCGTCCAACACCGACGCCGTCGGCGTGCCGTGCCGGGTCGAGGCCGAAGATTGGCTCCGTGCCGTGTGCATGTGGTTTTTGGGCTGCTCGGCACTGTGGAGAACAGAGACGATGAGACGAAGAGATCGCGACTAACAAGGGCAGGAACGAACAAGCGCATCGCTACGAACGTCACCTGGGCATTACTACTAGTAGCAAGGATGCTACTAGTAGCTCCTGGCATTACTACTAGGAACAAGAAGCTACTAGTTGATGAGACGAAGAACTTTGATCCTTTTTGCAGGCTTTGGACATGAAAAGGCAGACACATGGCCTCCTGGCAGACTGTTTTGGCGACTGTTTTGGTGACCTGCTGTTGTTGCGTCTAGAACGCCATGAGCAGTGAGGGTCATTTGGCCGGGACCAGTGAGGAACTACACTACCCCGAAAATTCCCAGTGTGGTGGATGGATGTCTGGTGGATGGAGCGATGTCCCATTTTCACCGGTGAACACCGCGAAGCAAAACGCATCCTGTTCGCATTGGTTTCGACGATGTTCGTGAAACGACGCCTTTTGGCAGGTGAGCTAGCGGATGTGTGGAACATGCTGAGTGCTAACAAGGGGGACAGCCACAAGGTGGAGTTTCATGCGAACACCTGCGAGAAGACAAGATCTACCAGAGTGAAAAGCTGTTTGGACAAGGGTTTGACCCAGAGTTTATTGAGCGTAATCCGAAAACAGGGCCACTCCAATATGAAACGTGGGAATCATTTTCTTGGCGTTTGCACCTCTGAAAACCAGGTCGTGACGCAAAAAAGAATCGGCGGACCAGTAGACCTTGCATGCCTTCCAAAAGATGGTGACCTATGGCGAGCTATGAGAGCTATGGTGACCTAGAGTGCAATGTGATGAGACCTTCCCAAGAAAGAGAAGAGTGAGAGAGAGAGAGAGAGTCCCACTAAGACTGGACTGGCAATGTTAGATAGAAACCACATCCTAAGACCATTTCAAAATGGGACTTGTCCAAATCCTTTTGCTCTCACCAGTTCCTTCACTTATTCTTTCAAGGGACACAATCAAACAAAGCTCATAGCAGCAAACAGAAGTTACAGCCCTTGGATTCGCACCGGGAAGATCTGGTTCGCTCACTTGGAAAAGAACCAACCATGGTTCGACTCCTCAGTGACCTTCGACTCCGACCTTGTTCCGCCCACCAGGTGGGCGCGTTGCCGCGAATTCCTGGCGTCCAACAAGCAAAAAAGAGAACCCTTCGTCCAAAAACACGACCTGTCCCAAGACAAGCGCGAGACAAGGGCCTGTCTGGGACTCCAGCGAAACTCTTCATGTTGGCGCCCAAGCTTTCCATCCACTTCAAGATCACCGTCCCAGCCCGACTCTCGAGCCGTCCGGACGTCCGTCCGACCTCCTCGTCCAACGGCTCAGGCCGACGGCCCCAAGTGCCCGCCGACGAGGCGTGACCGGCTTCCGGGTTTGGGATGCCACGACGGTCTTGGCTAAGGAGTTGATACTTGAGTCAACCAAACATCGTTGGCTTTTCTTTGTATGTTCAGCTTCTCATCAGTGGTTCTATAGAAGACATAGAATTTACTTCAGGCTGCTCCTTTGAGTCATGACTTCACAAAGCCCATTGCGGCGCTTTGTGAAAAGTACCTGGGCGTTCCTTTTTGTTTTTGTTTTTTTCACCATGACCTGAAAGCCATTCATTGGAACATGGCTCAAGCCGAGCTCACTAGAAAGCAAGAGAAGTCGTCTGACCATTTGCGATCTTTTTTTGAAGTCGCCGGATTTTCTTGGCAGATGGCAAATTTGGGTCCAGACCGGCCTTAAGGCCATCCTGACAAGATCTGGAGGTGGACTGGAGTGGAGAGAAGCACTCCCTGGCCGCGTCAGGAGCCCTTCTGGCTGCTGGTGGAGCTGAACCGTCGGGTGGACCCGGAGATGGAGAACATCGCATGGCAGCGGCGCTACAGGTGTTTTCACATGGCAGTGGTGAACTGCATGCGGCAGGGCATGCATTCGATGAGTCTGTAGCTTTGGGGGTTGTCCATGTTGGTCCATTGTGTTTCACTGGGAGGAGTCAACATGAGCCAACCAAGGGTCTGTGTTTTTTTTTTCACAAGAAGATCTCCTGGTACATATTGGTACATCCCGTGCTGCATCATTCAGGTTTGTGTCCATTTGGGGGGTCTTGACTTTTCAGGGGAAGCGGCCGCCACTGGAGAAGTAGCAGCACCTGCACCACACGTGGTTCCTCATCCCAAGGATTCACTGTGTGCAGCCTCTCGCCCGGTCTGCGGCTGGAACGCAGCAAAGGTGCGGGCCCCCGGTGCCCGACTGGGTGACGCTGTTCTCCGACGGGTTGAGAGTTTCGCACGGTTCGGCGCCTTTTTTGGAGTGGAGTGATCTTCTGTACCCAGACCGCTCCATTCACAGCCCGAGCAGTCCCTGAAAAGAACCGCAGGGGATTCGTTTGGACCCAGACCGAGCACTCCTCCAGAGGAAATTCGGGTCCGAGCCCCCTACTTAGGGTCCATCTATTTTCAGATGGACATGTGTCAAAGTTGATGTTTTGCCTACTTAGGGGCCCTCCTACTTAGCCCCCTCATCTGACTTGTGCTTGTTGTAGACGGGCGACGGGTCGTCGTCCGCTCGATGCGCTCTCGGAGACGAGGACGACTTGGGACGAGGACGAGAAGTCGACTGGGACGAGACGACGGTCTGGGGGTGGACTTGGATGCCATAGCTTTGGGTCTCTCCTATGAATATCATTTAATTAATACAATACAATGTATTGTTTCCTATGAATATCATGGAATATCTATTATGAATATCATTGAATATCTATTAATTGCCTGTACCTGCCGTCAGTAAAGAAGCAACTCACGATTTTTTTGAACACGGGCATCCACGTTGCTGGTAGTACGATAGACCCAAGCGATGCTTAGTTTTTGCTGATCGAGTGCTTATCTTCTGCGTATTATATGGGGGCATTCCCCTTCTGGATCTTCTGGGGAATATTTAAAGCTTTTATAAGCTTTTACTATAGTTCCTCAAGCACATTACGGACCATGGCGCATGTTCAGAGTTCAGACCAGCTGATTTCATTGAGACTTATCCACCCAGGTGGTGTGCCACACAGACTTCAGACATGCATTGGGACGCCGCACTGCCATGTGGGCTGTGAGGAACTCAACGTCCAATCCAAACCATGCATTATGGGAGGTTGCCATCCCAACAACGAAGGGATTGAAACGAATAACGGGGGAGACCCCAAAAGGGGTCGAAAGGGG